CGTCAGCAAGTCCCCTGAGCCTTCCCTTGGCCTAGATTCTAGATCTAGATCTAGATCTAGATCTAGATAAAATTCTAATTAAAATATCAAAACTAAAGCATCCGTTCAACAGTTAAGACATTGTTCCAATACTGCAAAAATAATATTTTAATTAATTGACAAGGAGAGTTGGGAGTTTCTCATTAAAATCTATTCAAGCCCGCTTTTCTTTAGATGGCCAGATCTATCTTTGGCGGATTTGGAGACATTTCAAGGCCAGATTCCAGATCTCGAGATCAGTTGGCTTCTCGCATCATACTTACCACAAAGAGCAGGTTGAACACGAAAAGAAGAATCTTGATACATTTCATTCCTCCCTCAACCATCTTGATTTCTTTGGTGAGATCACAACGACGAAAAAACCCCCAAGTAGAACAGCTGTCGATCACAACGAGAGTGTATTAACTGAGAATACCGAGCGTCAGCAGCTTGACTCTACCGAGCTTGTCCAAAACACTCCGACTGAACCCAACCAGTAGGCTAGATCTATACGTCAGCCAATGACGGCAACTTCAGCCAATTACTCCGCAAAAGAAAGTAGAACCTCAAGATGAACGGTGCACGGGTCTAGTGAGCTTCTTGTCAATAAATGACCAACTAGATCTATATATCTACTTTTGTAAGAAAAAATATACAATATTTTACGACTCTTCAAATGGAGCCTTGTATTGAGGGATCCGTGTTGAGGTTTTGGACTGCCTTGATTCTTCCCCCCAAAGGAAATCTATTTATACTAGAGTAAAGTAGTTGTGTTCATATTCATCCTCACGTGCCCTTTCTCCCCGCTAGGCTACGTCACAAGCTTAAAAATAAAACCTGTTTTGTCCAGATATAGTTTTCATAAGTTTCAACGATAGAAAAACCAATGATCACTGTTATAGTATAGTTTAATGTTTTGCACTTAATTAGCTCTAGTAGCTGTATTAATTTTCCATAATTTAAAGTGAAAACATATATTTATTTGTGTCTCCAAATCACAGTGCTTGGTATTTTGGTGCATGATATTACACTACAAGTCTACTGGAAGAAAATCTGGGATTTGTTGTCTATTATTAGATTACTACTGTAAACAGAAAAATTCACGTCAAGAATTTTTTTTTTAATTGAATAGTCGGGGGTGGAATTACTTAACAAGATAGGGGTAGGCTAATTTTCCGAAAAATTCCCCCCCAAACGGAGTGACTATTTCTCCGAACGCTCGGGAAAATAAACTTGACCTCTATTTCTTTAAACGTGTTTCCATTCTCTGATTACCCAAGATTAAAAGTCATTTCATACCACACATGCACACGCTAAAACAACATAGATATATCTAGAATCTAGATCTAGATCTAGGCCTACACACACTTAAAAAATATTTTTGAAATTAATGATATAATAAATTAAGTAGATCTAGAATCTAAATCTAGTCTAGATCTAGATCTAGATCTAGATGATCTATACCAATAAATTATTATAAATTCTGTGGAGTTTTGTTTGTGAACTTTGCAAAATCGTTTGTTTGTGTGTGATGGCGCGTCGCGCCCATCTTGAGATGGCCGCGCTTTCTGCGGATCGACATATGGTTCTGCGCCATCTTAAGATCGCGCTAATCGACAAATGGCGCTTAACATATTCATTAATGATTGACAATTTGTCAGGGCCCCCCCATTCTCGCGCAATAATAATAGTAATAGTGGTCTGGTATTGTTTCTTCCCAGGCTACATCTCTAGATCTAGATCTAGATCTAGAATCTAGATCTAGATCTCTAAATCTAATGGTTTTGAGGGTCAAATTATCAAGTTCGTCCAAGTCATGCTAAAAAACATGAAAGAGACAATCCCAGCAAGGGTCAATATT